GGGGTGGGCTGCGGCTCTTGCCCGGGGATAGCGGGGCAGGGCCCGGGCAGGCACCCCCGCTGCCGGAGCTCCGGGCTGTAGGCTGGGGAGGCCGCACGCGGCGGGGCCGCTGGGGCCGGTCCGTATCCCGGTTATCCCGGTGGGCGAAGCCCGTGGCGGCTGTGGCAGCATCACTTCCCACCGGTTTGAGGCTGGCAGCCTACGGGGAGCTCGGTGTGATTCAGGGTGCTACTCCTGATCTCGGGGACGGCACGTTTTGAGGGAGAGCCCATGGTATTTCTGAAGACGTGGCTATGGACCTGGAGCCACCCTTTTGTTTTCGTGCTGGGGGATGAGAGGTGCGGCCCTGGCTTTGGCGTGGGTCACTGTGGTGCCTTCGGGAAGCCGGGGAGGCCCCCGAGCTGCGGGTGGGCAATGCTGATCTCCATGCTCTCTGCCCGTGCCGTATCCTGCCCCTAGACTTCCTTCCCCTGAAGTGTGATGCCTGTGAGCAGATCTTCTGCACCGACCACATTGCTTATGCCCAGCACGATTGCACCTCTGCCTACAAGAAGGTAAGTGCGGAAAGCAGATCTCATCCACTCTCCTGCATGGAGCTGCTGAGCTTTTTTAGCCACCAGTCATAATAATCTGTGGTGACTTTGGTCACTTGAGCAGTCCCCCTTGGGATGTGTACTGAGTCTGAAGATGTACCTGAAAGCCAGGATATACACCTCAATGCCACAAACATCCAGCCCTCCCTCTCCCACTGGGTGAAGTGGTTTGGGCATCTCCCAGCCGTACCATATCCACTTCTCAGAGTTTATGCCTGTGCCTCTGCACCTGCTGTGCAAGCTGGTTGGGGGGTCATGAGCAGGATCTCAAACTGCAGCTGAAGCTGTGGAAGCCGTGGTTGGCAGGTCCTGAAAGGGAAAGAGATGACTGTGCAGCACTCAAGGTTGGCCAGCTATCTGTTCCCAGCTCCCTTTTGTTGTCTCTGTAGGATGTGCAGGTCCCAGTATGTCCCCTCTGCAACACCCCAGTCCCTGTGAGGCGGGAGGAGATGCCTGATATTGTGGTGGGTGAGCACATTGACCGTGACTGCAAGTCTGACCCTGCACAACGCAAGCGCAAGGTATGTACCCCATGGCTCTACCAGGTGAACTCTGGTTCCAGGTCTCTGGAATGGGAATGGGATTAAAACAGCACAGATTCAGCCCTGCCCAGTGCTATCTCTGGCACAGGCTGATGGCAGGGAGGGTTGGTGAGCTGGAAGTGTGCGCATCTGCAGGGCTTTGTGGAGGCAGTCTGGGAACAAGGTGGTGATGGAGTGGGGCTGGGCAGCCACCTGGGACATAAGGATGGGAAACTACATGCTGCTATTAGGAAAATGCAATCTGCAATTAGCTTCCCCATCTTTCCAGGAGATTAAATTGCTGCAAGGAGCTGGCCCTGCAAAAATCCAACCCAGCAGCATGCCCTGGAGTGCTCTGGGCTATCCCCACTGCACTGGCATGGAAGGCAGAAGTTCCTGGGCAAGGCATTCTTTCTCCTGCTGTGCATTCTGTGGTTGTAGAAACCCTTTTCTGTGGAGACTGAAGCATCAGTGAATTACTAATGATCTATCTAAAGAAATTATAAAGGAAGTATTCAGAGGCAAACTTCAGAGCCTTGCAGAAGATACACTGGTGGGGAGGGCTGGTCAGTGCCCAGGGCCTGGTATGGAGAGAAGGGACAGCCCCAGCCCCTCAGCATGTGCTCCTTTTCACCACTGCCGTGTCATCTTTCAGATCTTCACCAACAAGTGTTTGAAGCCTGGCTGCAAGCAGAAGGAGATGATGAAGGTGATCTGTGACCAGTGCCACAAGAATTACTGCCTCAAGCACCGGCACCCCCTGGACCATGACTGCAGTGGGGCAGGGCATCCCCTTTCCAAAGCAGGGTGAGGACCTGAGAACACATAGGTTGGGAGGGGTGGGGCTGTGATTGCCAGATGGCTGACAGGGAAGAAGCTCAGCTCCTCCTGACCCATTGTCTGGGGCTGCTGCATTCTCACACTCCCTGCCTTGTGTGCTGAGGTGTCCTCCTGCAGCACCAAGCACACTGGTATGCACGGTCTCTCCCGCAGCAAAAGCTGTCAGTGCTGACTGCTTTGCTCTTGCTTCTTTCCCCAGTCCCTTATTCTGTAGCCAGTGGTTTCTGCCTGTCCTGGTACAGGGTTTCAGGGAGAGAAACAGGACTCGAAACTCTTGGGAATAACAGCCACAACATGGGAACAAGAGGAGCCAGGGAGGTGTCTCGCTTACCCAGCTTGATATCCCCAGGTGTTCAATGCCTAGGAATTGCTCATGATGGTGAAACAGTTTCTCACATGTGTCCTATCTGTCTTAGGCATGCTGCAGTTACCAGAGCCCAGGCATCCTCCTCCAAATTAGTCACTGCATCAAGCAGCGGAGCTGCCTGGCCAGCAGACAGCTCCTCTTCTCCAGCCTGTGCCAGGTAAGGTGATTGCCTGACTTGTAATTCTGAGGTGAGCATGACCAGGCTTAGTTTGGTTCTCTGTGGAGCACCAGAGTGACAGCTCCTTTCGTCTTGTGCCTCAGCAGGACTGATAGTTGTACCAGGGCTCCCTGCCTTGACAATAACGCAGCTTTTCTTCTGCTTGCAGAGGAGGCAGAGCGGCTGTGTCGCAGACTCGCAGCACCTCCCCTCCAGCTGTCATGCTGCAGAATGGGCTGGTGAGTGGCTTGGCCTGGGCATTTGGGATGGTTTCTGTGCCCCCTAGGAAATGACTGAAACAAATGCTTTTTAGCCCACACTCTGCAGGTGACTATGCTCCTAGCTGTGCCTTCTCTGGCAGGCTGATCCTGATTGCTCTGTGGGAAATCAGAGCTTACTCTGGTGGCTGCGAATGACAGCTCTCAGCTGTGCTTGGTGTTTAGCTTTCCCCAAAGGGACAAAGTGCACCAGCCATTTATTTGGGTGTTGTCTTTCTGTAGTACAAGCAAAGACAATACTGGAAGTTGCTTTCCACTGGTATTCTTGGCATAATCCTGCCAAGGCGATCCTGCAAGCAGGGATGTGTCCCCTTGGGCAGGGGGAGAGCTCTGCCAGTCTGTCTAGAGCCCCAGTTTTTCACCTTGGCTGTGTCTGGCCTCCTGGAGAGAGAAGCCCACGCTTGGCTAGGAAGTACTCTACCTGCCACATGTGCTTCAGGGCTGCCTCCTGCCCCTGACCATGGCCAAGCTGGTGACAAGGTGTTTTGTTTTCAGAGCGAGGAAGAGGCACTGCAGCGAGCTCTGGAGATGTCCCTGGCAGAGTCAGCACGCAGCTCAGCACAGCCACCAAGGTACAGCCCCAAAACACATGGTATGGTGTGGTGTGGTGCACACTCATCCTGTGTGTGTGAAAGGTGCCTGGGAAGCATCATGTGGCTCTGGGGTAACATTCCTCTCAGCACATGTTTCCATGTGATGCCTCTCTGTGGCTGACAGAGGAAAAAAGGAAGAGTCCAGAGCCAACAGGGTACTCTGTTCAGCAAGCAAGCCCTCTGCCCTAGGGGTGCTCATAGGGGACAGTGACTGACACACAGAGTAGGGCAAACCATTGTCTGACCACTTGTCAGTTTGGCTGGAGCGTGATAGGTAGAGTAGAGGTGTTCATGGAGGACACCCAGGAGCTCATGTCCCCAGGCACAGTGCCCAGTGCTGCTAAAAGCACCCTCTTACAGACTGGACTTAACATGGCTCTCCTTGGCCCAGATTTCTGGCTGCTTGCCCCAGCTGGATGCTCTGCTCCCTCCCCAGCCCCATGCCTGTTGAAAGTTATCCTCAGTTGCTCCCTATCCTAAGACAGGCTGGGGGGTTGCAGTGAGATGCTGTAACCCAGAAGGGCTCTGAGCACTCAGCCCATGAGCCTGAGGGAGGCTGAGGCACACAATGCACCACTGTCCCAGCAGCACACAGGAGGAGGAGGATCTGGCACTGGCCCAGGCACTGTCAGCGAGCGAAGCCGAGTACCAGCAGTTGCAGCGGCAGGTGAGGCTGGCTATGGGCTCTGCCCTGTCGTGGGGTTGATCCTGGCCTAGCTGTGTGAGGGTGGGGGCCTCCCTGGGTTCTGCTTACTCTGGGGTCTGTCTGGCCTGGGTTTCTTCACCAGGAGGGTGGCTCAGCCTGGGGCAGTGGCAGCATCACTGCTGAGCACACTGATGTGAGAACTTGAGCACTGGATGTGCCCTCTTGTAGGAGATAGGAAGAAGCCTGCTTGCCCTTGCTCACTGTGTGCTTCTTTCTGTTCCAGGCGCACAGTTCAAAGCCATCAAACTGCAGCATGTCATAGGCAGGTGAGGCAGGGTGTGCCAGCAGACACAGGATCCTGCTTGTGACTCAAGGAGCGGCTCTGGCCTCCCATATGGATCCCGTGGGGTTCTGGCCTGGACACTGGTACCAAGAGCCCCTTGCCAAGGACAGCTTATCTCTCTGGGAGCTGTAAGCCACCAAATATACATTGGCACTTCAGCCCTAGTACCTATATAAAATTAGTGCAGCAATTTGCTGATGCTCCTGGGGAGGTGAAGACTGTACAGGACAGGGCTGGGTACACACTGACCAAAGCAAGCAGCAGCCCAGGGTCTGCACTTACCCACAGTTGCCACAGCCACATCCCAACACTGCTGGGACTGTGGGAGAGAGCTGTGTGGGGACATCTCTGCATGCTCAGACATACAGCTGGGATGTAGCTGCCTTCTATAGAGGGGGGCTGGATTCCATGCTGTGGGGAGGGCCGTGCCAGCCCCTCAGCAAAGAGCAAATGTGGCTGGGATGGTCTCTTGCCTGGGCATGGCGTGGATGAATGTGCAGCCTCCCAGCAGCATGAAGGCAGCACCTTCCCCGCTCCCCACACCCTCGGTGCCTCCCTACTCTTTGCATGCACAAGAGCACATTGGGCCTTACCCTGCTCGGCTGGGGCACAACCTCTGAGACTGAATGGAGCTGCATTTCCCTTCTGGTTTAATATAGTAAGTAACCTTGGCAGTGACTTGAATGCCAGCATCGCTCACATGGGATGGTTGCAGCTGCCTTCCTGCTGCTGGCTGCTCTCTGCTGCCCTAAGCTTAAACAGGGCCCTGTTTAAATGCTGCTGGGGTAGGAATGCCTCCCTTCTTCTAGCTGTGTTGCTGGGGATCCCCTCCTGGATAGCAATAGCACAGAACCCTTCCTTACAAAGAAAGCCCTGAACTTAGAGCCTGGTTGGGTGGGGGGGATCTTGGCTGCAGGGCTCTGCCTGGTTCTGCACAGGACTGGGCTGTCCTGCTCTGAGCAGCTGAGGGAGGGGGGTTCAGGCTGGGTCCAGGGAAGGCTGAGACTTGTCAAAGTGCTGCTTGAGAGAAAATAAAAGCATAGCACAAGGTACAGAGGTACCTGAGGGAGCAGTCACTTGGTGTCCAGCCCAGAGTGGCACATCTCTGTGAATGGTGGTTGGAGGGGGGGACGCACAGGGGTGAGGGGACACCAGCTGCCCTGCTCTTCCATTACTGTTGGGGTGCAGCTCCCTGCCAAGCTCAGCCCTTTGTGTGGGGATGGGGCAGGTGCTGACCACCTGCTCAACCCCTTGCTCACCTCAGCCCAAGGAGCTCAGCCTTGTGGCAGAGCTGCCGCTTGACCCAAGGGCACAGGCACTAACCCTGCCTGCCCTGCCAAGAGGCACGTACCCTGCCCAAAGCACACAGGCACGGAGCTGGGAAGGACCTGGTTTAAGAAACTGCACAACAGCAAAAGAAACATGTACAAATATAGTGGAGTGTCCAACCAAGCCCCTGCACCTCTAGGGCAGCTGGGGCCCCTGCTGCAAGCAGCAAAAAGCTGTCAGGCAGTGTGGGGGCCTGGACCCAAGTCAGTGTCACAGCAGAACTCCTGGTCATGTTCATGACTCTTTTTTGCTGCCCTGGGGCTTCTCAGTGCAGTGCTCCTTGCTCTCGCCCTCGTCGCCGGTCTGCTGCTGCAGCCACATGCCAGCATACACGCCACCCTTCTGCAGCAGCTCCTCGTGCCTGTGAGGAGAGTGGAGAGATGCAGGGTCCTGAGCTGGCCCCAGAGCCAGGAAGGGGATGCCCTCCCCCAGCTCTCCCTTTGTGCTCACCTCCCTCGTTCCACAATGTGCCCATCCTTAAGCACCAGGATCTGGTCTGCACCTACCACAGTGGAGAGCCTGCAGGAAAAAGCAGGTGTTACCCTGACTTGGCAGGGAGGGAGTTCTAAGGGTTTGCATGGTGCCAGGAGATGCAGTCCCAGGGGCTCTCACCTCCTGAGCAGGGGGCAGGTCTGTGTGCCCCTCTTGCAGGGTCTGGCCAGCACCTCCCAGATCAGCCCTTCCCGTCGTCCCTACCTGTGTGCAACAACGATGGTGGTGCGGTGGGTGCAGACCTTGGCCAGAGAAGCCTGGATGTTCCTCTCAGTCTCTGTGTCAAGTGCAGATGTGGCCTGCAAGGGGAGACACAACATGTGGAAGGGATAGAGGTAGGCTGGGTAAGGCTGGGCTGGGGCCACTGCTGTTACCTCATCCAGCAGGATGATGTGGGGACCCTTCAGGATGGTGCGTGCGATGGCAACGCGCTGCTTCTCACCCCCACTCAGCTTCAGCCCCCGCTCTCCCACCTGGGTGTTGTATCCTGCAGGCACAAGAGCAGAAACATGATGTGCTGGTGCCCTCTGAAATGGAGATGGGGACCTGCTGCCCTGGGAGGCCTTACTGTGGCCACACAGCCACATGGTGGAGCCTCCGCTTGTCCCTGTCCAGGGGCTGATCTAGTCCTGGAGAGAAAGCAGGGAAAGGCAAAGCAAGACACAGAGTCATACAGGTGTCCCCATGGGAGTTGTCACCCAAGGATACCTGTGAAGGCAGCTAGAAGGTCTTAGGGGACCATGGGATGGCAGGAACTGCAGGGGTCTCACCATCAGGAAAAGAAAGGATGCGGTCGTGGATGTCAGCAGCCCGGGCTGCCTCCTGTACCTCCTGGTCAGTGGCCAGGATCCGTCCATAGCGGATATTGTTGGCGATGGTGTCGTTGAAGAGCACAGTATCCTGAGGCACCACCCCAATGTGAGCACGCAGCGAATCCTGCTTCACCTGGGAGGCAGGGGAGAGGGCTCAGGCAGACCCACACCCAATGCAAAGACTCCTCCAAAACCCAATCCTACCCTCAGCCATGAGCCCCATTCCTTGCAAGCTATGTGCTGTAGGGCTGCCCTGCACCACAGGCTCAGCTGAATCTCCACTCTGCAGTGGGGGGCCCTGACAGTGCCCTAGTCCTTCCTAGGGAGCCCTGGTCAGTACCCAGCATTTCAGCCTGGGGTCCTGGAGTCGCCCCATTCTGCCCCTTCTGGCATAGCCATCAGCCTGCAAAGGGGCTGTAGGGCTGTGTGCTCACCCCTGCCCTGGGGAAGTGTAGGTGCCTGCACTAAGCAGTGCTGTGAGGCCTAGATGAGCTGGTGTGTCCCCCTTGGAGGCCGTCCCCCCTCACCTGGGAGATGTCCTGCCCATCAATGCGGATACAGCCACCCCGTACATCATAGAAACGGAAGAGCAGGCGGATGATGGTGCTCTTTCCAGAGCCTGAAGGTCCCACCTGCACACAAAGGAAAAGGGACTTGGAGATGGCAAATTCCCAGGGGCTGGACAGGAAAGGGCTGGTCCTGCTGGGGGGCTGTCCTTCCCATCTTCTTATTTTCCAGTCTCTCTACTCCCATCCTTCCCTCCCACAGTGAACTCACACTCAAAGTCCTGTTCTCACCAGTGCCAGGGTCTGCCCAGGCATCACAGAGAAGGAGACGTCCTGCAGGATTTCCTTCCTGGAAGAGGGACATGGAGAGGAGCTCAGGGCCACTCCATAGCCCCACATCCCAGTGCCAGGTTCCATAGCAGGCCCCACCCTGTGCCCAGTACCACTTACCCATCCACATAGCTGAAGTGAACGTTCTCAAACTCAATCTGCCCAGCATCCAAGCGCAGGTCGCTGGCATTCACCACATCCTTCACCTGTCGAAGTAGAGGCGCAGGCTCAGAGTCAACCTATCCCCAGGGCAGGACCACAGGCCAAGTGAGGGAGCAAGGTCCAGAAAAGGTGGCACCCACCTCCTGTTCCTCATGGAAGAGTTCAAACATGTTTTCCATGTCCACAAAGGAGTTCTGGATCATCCTGAAGAGGGCAAAGACCAGAGAAAAAGGTTTGGGGAAGCACATATCGACCTAGTCACCCACAGAGAGGGGGACACCAGGCACCTCTGCAGCTCCCAGCATTACCTATAGTAAGTCCCAAACCAGTTGAGTGGCGTGTAGAGCTGGATTATGTAGGTGCCAAAGAGGACAAAATCCCCTACCTGAAAGGAACAGGGTATAGGGGTCTGTAAACATCAGTGCCAGGGCCCCACCCCAGCAGGGGTCTGCACAGGCTGACACCAGCCTTACCTGCAGCTTGTTTTCGGTGACAAAGTAGGCACAGAGCAGGGACCCTGCCAGCAGCCCCAGGCTAATGACCAGGTTCTGGGTCTGGTTGAGGAGGCCTAGCGAGGCACTGACATTCCACTCTGAGACCTGGAAGAGACAAAGTTCTGTGGGATGCTGCTGCCTCCAAACCAGACCCATGGTGATCTCTATCATCCCCACAGGTGCCTGTGAGGTTTGGCTTCTTCTCCCTTTGGTGCCCCCAATGGTGCTGAGAACCCCGTACCTGGTACTTGACAATGGCATCGTTGAATCGGTTCACCTCATAGGTCTCTGCATTGTAGTACTTCACCTACAGGAGCAGAGCTGGTATCAGCACCCAAGCAGTCCTCAGTGCCCCCCCCAAACTCCTACAGTACCGTCTCAAAATTAAGGAGCGAGTCCACGGCCCGGGACTTGGCCTCATTGTCCCGTGTGTTCATGTCTCGGCGGTACTTGGTTCTCCACTCAGTGATGAAGATGGTCAGAGCTGTGGACAGGAGGAAGCTGCATTGGAAGGTTCCTGCCACCCCACAGCCTGGCAGCTCTGCACCCTGACCCCCCCACTCACTCAGATACAGGCTCATACACACGAAGATGATGAGGCCAAACCAAGCGCTGAAGACCGAGGTGAAGTAAACTATGCTGATGACAATATCCGCAATGGTGGGGACAATGCTGAAGACGATGTAGCTGGGGGGTGGGAGGGGAGATGGGGCATCAGCCCAGCTCGGTGGGGCTGCCTGGCCAACCCCCAGCCCCCATGGGCACACTCTGACCTGAGCAGGCTGTTGATGCTGCTGGTGCCCCGGTCCACGCTACGCAGGACCTCACCAGTGCGACGCCCCAGGTGCCAACGCAGGGACAGCCCGTGCAGGTGGGCAAAGAGCCGCACCTGCACCTGCCGGTTGGTGAACTGCTGCACCCACACCCACAGGAAGGTG